CCCTAACCGAGACCTCCCCTGTGGGCCTGAGCCCCTCGCTGAAGGTTCCTTCCTCCAAAAGAAGCCAGATTCTGCTGAAGTTTCTAACAGTTTAAAAACGTAAATAACAACAGCCCCAAACAAAACCCCATACCCCAAAATGAGGACACATTCAAATGAAACCCTTGCCTGAGGCAGTAAGAGGATGTGAAATTATCAGGTGGATTTCCCCCAAGCTGAAGTCCTTCAAATCATGCTCCGCTCAATTTGCCTACAGAACGCACACTTGCGAGCTCGCCTGTAGCAGGCGAGGAAGTGCCAGCCGCAGGGTCACGTGATAATCAGTGTTCTCAGTCACCCCGATGCAGCTTTGAATCTGCTTTCAGTGAACACCACCTTCTCGGTAAAAGCTGCTGGGCATTTCTCTAAAGGCCGGGTACAGAGTGACTCGGGTACTCAGCTCACATCTCCCTCTCACGCAGACATGCACACATCACACATACCCCCCTGAAGATGCAGGGATTGGAGTTGGAAGTTGGTCTCGGTGCTGCTAGTCAATCAGAGCCACCATGCAATGCACCTTGAGCGTCCCCAGAAGATTGGCGGCAGCAGGAGATGTGTTCTGGGCACCAGTCCTGCAGAAAGCCCCCGGGCCCCTGGTGAGGGGTTGGAGGCTTAGCACATCCTGTCTGCCGTGGACAAGGCCAAGTCTGGGGCTCACCATGAGCAGGCTCTGGCCTGTGGGGTCCGGGTCTCCCACGCTGAGACCCGTTCCAAGACCGGAAAGGGGAAAGGCAGAGAGAGGAACACGGTGCTGGCAGATCTGTAGGGCTTTAGAAAGAGCATGGAATCCAGAGCCTGGCACTTAGTGCTCTGTGACCTTGGGCAAGTTACTTACTCTCTCTGACCCTTTGCCAAGACGAAGAAAAATTTCTTTACAAGAAAAATGCATTCGTGTCTTTCAAGCCATGCATAAAATAATCACCTTGAATCCCAGAATGTTAGGGATGAAAAACCATTTAAGATTATTATTGTTAGTCTAACCTCTTAATCATATCAGCAGGGCTCCATAAAGGTGGTTCACACCAAGGTCATGTAGCTGTCAAGCTGAAAAGCTAGTAGGTACTCACCACATGAAGCTCTTTGCCCTTAAATTCAAATTAATTCAAAAAAATTAAAAATTCAGCTGTTTGGTCACACCAGCCACATTTTACGTGCTAGGGAGCCACAAACGACAAGTGGCCTCCGTAATGGGCAGGGCAAGTGTGAAGCTTTCCATCAGCACAGGGAGTTCCCTGGGCAGCCCCAGGCTGGGGGTCAAACTCGAGTCCTCACCCTCTGAGCCCCATGTGCCACGCCCTGCCTCTGATCTCCTGGTTTTCTACGTGAAATACAGGAGATGAATCAAAACTATGGGGCAAGCGTAAGGTCTGGCTTCCCAGGTCCCCGTCTTACACTCCGAAACTGCAGCTTAGAATTCTCGCTGAAGTGGACCCATGGCTTATGAATGAGAAATGAAGCCGGCAGTCCTGCTTATAAGAGCCAAACGGACTCCCGTTGTTGTGACAATGAGGACAGGGAAGGGTTTTAGTTTGGTGGCGTAGTTCTATTGAAATGACTGAGGACAGTCTGTGTTTCGTGAAACAGGCCAGCTCTGTGCGCTTTGAACAGATACATCCCCACATCTTAAAAAGCACTTCGCCGGTGCCCCAGCTGCTGAGCTCCAGCGAACAGGCACCCCAGGCCTGCTGGGTCCAACCGCCACAGACAGCCTCGGGCTCCACATTCTGAAGCTCTGGAGAGAGAAGCCCTCAGGAACTTCCACACAGGGTGGGGTGGTTGGAGCCCAGGGATGGGGCCAGGCTCCGATGGAGCCGGCGTTGACTTTGGCCAAGCCCACCCAGTCCCTCCCCGGGCTGCTTCCTTGCTCAGCGGAGAGGGTCGTGTGTCCAGCTCTAACAGTCTCTGGGCAGCGGTGCCTCCCATAAAGCATGGCATTGTCTATAATTTCTCCTTCTACGTCAGCGGTTCTTTACGTTTGGGAGATCACAGACCCTGTAAGTACCTATGGAAAGCTGTGGCTCTCTTCCTCAGAGAAACACGTGTATGAAGGCACATGTCACATACTTATATCATTGCAGGACTCTGCTGGCTTTGAAGATAAAAGGGCCACGAGCCACGGAATGCAGGCGGCCTCTAGAAGCTGGAAAAGACAAGAAAACATATTATCCCCCCGGAGCTTCCCGAGGGAACACAGCTCTTGATTTCAGTCCACTGCTGGACTTCTGACCTCCAGACCCGGGAGACAATAAAGGCGTGTTGTTTCACGCCACTGTGCTTGTGGTCATTGATCAGAGCAGCCATAGAAAGCCAGTGCGGGTTCGGCCCTTACAGAGGCACTTCTTACACAACTTCCCAAAGACAACGCGTTGAAAGCGGGGCTGCTGTTCTCTGTGGGCCAAGGCAGGCGCTGCCCCCGGCCCCAGGGCACAGAGCCGCCGCCGGCAAGTCGGCAACAGGACCCCGGAGGTTGCTACTGCCAACAGAAGACACACGTGGCATCTGCTCAGGGCGGACAGGACATGTGTTCCCATCTCTTCTCTGCTCCGCCCCACTCATTCAGGCCCAGACAGCGCACGGAGCAGCAGCATCTTCAAACTGCCGTCAGTAACATCGTCGTAACTATGCACGGTTTCAGATGGTACGAGATTTATCAGGGTGATCCCTTAGAAAGTTATGTAATGTCTGATCACTGAGTTGTACATTTGAAACTAATGTAATATTCTATGTCAACTGTAACTGAAAAATAAAAATATTAAATAATGATTTCTATTTAGGTAACTTAAAAAAAAAAAAAACAGAATGGCAAGGTCTGCTTTACGACAAAACCTCAGCAAAGGAGAATTTTCAGAAACCATGTTTCTGAGGTAATTGAGTTTTGAGGTGAACAGATAATAACTAGACACCACGCTGGGTTTCAGCCATCCCCTTCCTCTGAAGGGTGAGCCCCGCTTGCATCTGTTCTTCACAACCGAGGGTCTGCCAGAGCCTGAGGAGCACGGTCCTGCTGCAGCTCTGGTCAGAGAGCACAGTCGGTGTTATTGCAGGACACGGAGCTGTGATCTCAGACCCCAGCTCTCTCCCAGACTTGCCTTAGACCAAATCGAGTCCCTCCGTGCAGGTGGTGGCCGTGCAATTTGCCTGTTTTTCCCAAGCAGTGAGGTGCAGGGAATAGGGCGTGTATGTGCGTGTATAGACCTGCGTACACACACCGAGAACACCCACCCATGCACGTGCGCTGGTGAACTGAGATGATTTTCAGGCAGCCTGTGTGTGACAGGTTTTTAGCAATAGCCGGCGTGGTGATTTTCATTTCTAACTCGCACAGATTGAGGGTGCAGGGGTGAAACTGACTACGGCTGTGGGAGGAGGGGGCGGACTGAATGGATGTAACCAGGACACATCATCATTATGGGCAAATAGAGGATGTGGTTTCCATTTGAATTCCAAGCAGCAACAGACTTTCATCAAAAGAACCCCCGCCCCATCATAACAATTCCTAAAAGACGTCTGGTCCCCACAGACAGATGCCCACACTTTCCTGCGGACCCTGAAGTGCTTTATGTCCCACAGCCGTCCTTCCCCCTTGGCCTGGGACGGCAGAGCTCACAGAACCTTTGGCCTGGGACGCTCTTCGACTTGACGGCATCATCTCACATTTCTGTTGATGCCCAGAGGGAGGGGTGCCAGATCAGAGGCCAGGGCCCCCCTTCCCAACCCTGTAGACTTTCTAACACCCTCTGAGCCAGCTGGATTCTTTAAAATCCTAAACTCCCCCAGAGATCTGGAATTAAACAGGATTTCACAGGCTCGCTGAGAGCCTGTGGGAGAATACAAGAGACCCCTGAGGACTAGCTTCCAGGCCCTGGAGAAGGAAGGGCTCCATTACTCTCTCTGATCTAATCAAGCCCAGGGAGCCCCGGCTGGCTGAAGGGTGACCCCACACACAGCAGGCAGGGCGTGTAGGAGCAGCCCCTGAGGCTGAGCCATCTTGGGGTGAACCATTCCAAACTTGGGTCCCGCCAAATGCTAAGTGAGACCAAGTCCCCAGGGCAAACCCTGGCTTGCCAGCCAAAGGGTGCGCTGCCCATACACTCCGTGCTGCTATTACAGTTTTGCTCCAGCCCCACCCGCAGCTCATCTTTGGAAAAGGGAAGCGTATCCGTTTGCAGCTGCGAGAGAGCGATTTCCTATGGCTCTGCCCTTTGCCCCGCTGTCACGACGCCAAGCGGTAGAATAATCACTAGTTTGGGCGATGCCTCCTCCTCGCCCAGCAGGGAGTGTGGGGGAAGCTGCAGAGGTTCTGCACAGCTGAACTTGGCTTCACCAGGAAAGACAACAGGGCGGGGTATGACTCTCTCACTGCCCCAACATACAGAGGTGCCAGTACGCAGATCCTACCTACCATGTCTGCAGGCCGGGGCCATGAGCTCACCTCTAGCCAGGGAACCACCCCTCCACCCCACAAGCCCAGCACAAGGCTTCCAACGACGTTCAAGTACACTTTCCCATCTGATTCTCACACCCTCGAGGGAAGCAGAAGACTCTATTGGCCCGGGTCACAGGAGAGGAAATGAGAGGCACAGCTTTTCCCAGAATCATGCAGCTGGTCAGGGGCAGGCTCCCCAAGTCGGACCTCCTGTCATCCACTGTCTTCCTCAGGAGGGCCCCTCGGGGTTCCTATGATAACAGTGACCACTTGTGGAACCCTTGCTGTGTGTCAGGCACTGTCCTAGGCATCTCGTGCAGCTCCCTTCTTTCTAGGGAGGTTTCACATCAACATTACAGATGGAAACAGTGAGGCTCAGAGAGGTTAGGTGACTTACTTAAGGCTACACAGCTACTAAGAGATGGAACAGGGACTCAAAGCCTCATCCGTTGGCTCCAGGCTGTTTGGACCAAACCCATGGAAAAAGGGACAGTTCTCCCACCACCTCCCCCTACAGAATAAAGAAAGCTACCTCATTGCCACGTTGCTGCCGTCGATCACGATGGGTCGCAAGGAACTGGCTAGGTCTTTGAACTCCGCCTCGGGGTCAGCCCCCAGCCCGTGCTGGGCAGAGTCTGGGGGCCCACAGGAGCCCCTGGGCACCAGCAGGGGCACAGCACTGCTCTGGTGGGCCCCCGGGCGGCTGCCCGTCTGGATCAGCTCCTGCAGCACGTCGTTGACCAGGGCGCCCTCGCCCAGCTTGCCCAGCACCCGGACCACGTCGTCCCGGTCGTAGCCTAGCTTCTGGAAAAACTCCATCTTGCTTGAGGGCTCCATGCTGTGCCAGCCAGGCCCCTGGCAAGGGTCCTGCCCCCGGCTTTCTCCTGGCAGAGCCTCGCCGGCATGAGCTAAAGGAAAAAAGCATCCATCAGGAGTTTGCTGGGCAGCCTGGCTGTCAGGTTACTGAGGGCAAATGATCTATGCTCCCCCCTCGGCTTATCTGTGAGGAAATCATGGTGAGGATGCCGGGTCCCCGTGGGGATTTTCAGTTGCTCAGTGTGGTCAAGAACCACAGATACAATCACGCTGCTATTTCTAGTGTGTTCTCCAGGCCTTCGCCCCACACAGCGCCCCTGCAGGGCTCACCGCCCCGAAGCACCAAGGGCCACTGAGAAGCCCCCCACCTCTGGACGTCTGCACACAGGCCAAGGAAATGTTTCTGAGGCTCTTTTGGGGGGTGAACTGTGTCTACCCCAATTCATATTTTAAAGCCCTAACCCCAATACCTGAGAATGTGACTAAATTTGGAAAGGGGGTCTTTAAAGAGGTAATTAGGTTAAAATGAGGTCCTTAGGGTGGGCCCTGATCCAAAAGGACAGGTGTCCTTGAAAGAAGAGGAGATCTGGACACAGTGGCGAAGGCAGCATCCACAAGCCGAGGAGACATCGACCCCGCCCGCACCTCGAGGTCAGACTTCTAGCCTCCAGGACTGTGACACAATAACAAATAAGTAAACATAATTTAAAGTGTATTGACCAAGTCAGGGGTATTTTGTTACGGCGGCCCTGGTAAACTAATACAGCATCTCGGCTTAAACAGAAGAAAATGTCCCTTAGTCAATTCTACCCCCAGAAAATGCACCCCAGTTTAGCTCTGCACTGGCTCGGCTTTCCCCAGAGGTTCAGACCACACTGAACCTCTAAAATAAAGGTCCTAATCCAGCTGCGCTCCTTTCCGCTCAGCATCACTGCCTGGCTACACCTCTGTGGGAGGAGGGGCAGGTGGGGGCTGCAGCCAGGTGTTTACAAAAAGATGATTAAACCAACAGGAACACTCTGGACACATTGGGTCCCTCCCTCATCTATTCACAAAGACCTACATCTTTCAAACAACATTTTAAAATACAGAAATAATCATGAAAATAAATGTACTGTGAAAACTGGAAACAATGCAGAAGTATAAGAATAAAAAGACATAGTCTCTTCCCACACACCCCAAACCCCACTTGTCTCTCTGAGCATCGTCTGCACCCTCCCAGCACTTTCTCTGTGCATTTACTTGCGTATCTAATAGACACACATATATTGTTTTAGGGAGATTGTTTTTACATAAATAGTGTCATACTGTATGTAATGTTCAACAACTGGTTTTTCTTACTAAAAGAGTTTTGGGGATCATTTCATGCCTGTTTATCTGTCCTGCTGCCCACTGTCTCTCCAGCATTTGGAACAAGGGCCTGGCACAGCTGACCCTCAGTGCATTATTGTTGGATGGAAGGATGGATGGATGGTGTTTAACCATATGAGGACAATTGGATCGTCTTCTATTCTTCCCTGTTACGAATCACGCTCAGTGGAACACTCTTGCCACCGGTCTTGGCCTTGACCTTTAGTTCCCGGTCCCTCAGGGGGGTCCCCACAGCATTCACATCTCTCTTCCAGGTTCCCAGCTCAGCTCCTCATTCTCGCCCCGGGCCTCTTCCTGTGTGCTGGAACCCGGCCAGAACCAACAAGGACTGGGCCTGGCAGGTGAAGGGCATTTCTCAGCCAGCCTCCTGGAGAGAGGCCTCTGCAGCTCCCCTTGGTCACCCCCCACTCTGCCTGGGCCCCCTGACTGCTGACACACCAAAACTGCCCCCCAAGGTCACCAGTGGCCTCCTAACGGCCAATTCCAACAGCAACTTCACATTCCTCCCCTTATACCACCTCTCCCCTGCTTTCGACATGGGGGACCACTCCCTAACTTGTAATTTTCAATAAAAAAGTTTTGGACAGCCTTCTTGTTAAAACTCTTCTCCCTTAGGTTATACAACTTGGCCTGAGTCTCTTCCTACGTCTTTCCAGCTCTTTGCTTAGCCTCTACTCACTCGTCCAAAGGTGAGGTCCTTCCAGGTCCTCTTCGCTTCCCTGCGCATGACCTCCCCCCGCCCCGTCTTCCGGCGCAGACCCCTTGCTACGCACCAGGCACACACAGTTACACATCTGTGAAATAGCACCACGTGTGCTATTTGAATACAGTGCTATGGGGACTCAGAATGACAGTCATTCACCAGATATTTGCCAAATCTACTTCAGTGGTTCTCAAAGTGTGGTCCAGGGAAACTTGGGGGGACCTAAGACCCTTTCAGGGAGTCGGTAAAGTAAAAACTGTTTTCACAATAATGCTAAGGCATAATTTGCTTTTCTTCCACTCTCATCCTCTTGTGAGTGTACCCTGAAGTATTCCAGAGACTACACGTCGTGTGACGTTGCAACAGTTTGAATGCAGAAGCAGACATGAGAGTCCTTCTGTCTTCTATTAAGCCAGATATTAAAGAGGTTGAAAAAAACGTAAATCAGTGGCAGTCTTCTTACAAATTTTCAATTTTGGAAAATAGAGTTGTTTTTCATAAGAATATGTTATTTATATTAATGTAATTGGTTTATTATTTTTAAATGAATGTTTTTTCATTTCTTAGTTTTAGCTTCTAATAAGGGATAGATGATAGATAGATAGATAGATAGATAGATAGATAGATAGATAGATAGATAATAGAACCTACATAAATAAAAGCTCTTTGGGGCCCTTAATAATTTTCAACAGTGAAAGGGGCTCGAAAACTAAAAAGATTTTTCTTAAATCCAGAGTTTTCCAATAAGTATTTCCACATCCATGGTTCCATGTAGGTGGCCTATAGACATGTCACCCAAGGCCCCAGGACACAGGCCCAGTATCTCTTCCTCCCGCAGTCTGGCTCCTCTGACCCCCATCTCCTACTGGCTGCCCAGGCCACTCAAGCCTTAGTCCTGCCTTCTTTTCCCAGACCCAGCACACTGCAGCTGCCTCCGAAGGGGTCCCCTTCCTCGTCCCATCTGGCCCAGCTCCATTTGTAGCCAGCACTGTATTTCTGGAACAAGGCTGACCATCACCCCGACTGTAATTCTCTTCTGACCCCGCGCTGACTACGGGGAGGCACCAATTCCTGAGCAGGCTGCTGAGCTGTCGCCGCGCAGTGCTGACCCCTGTCCACCTCGCCACCCGCTGCTGGCCCACCAGCTCTCTCTGGAGCCACGCTGAATTCCTCCTGCTCCCCACGTATCCAGGACATGCGTATCGCTGCGCTCCTGTGCGTTCCTTCCTCTCCACCCGGAATGCTCTGCCGTTTGGCGAACTTCAAGATTCAGCTCAATACAACCCAAAGCAGTCACCCTTAACTCCAGGGCCAGAATGAGTGGCTTAGTCATCGCATCCACCCCCAGGCCCTTCGCGCACACCTGTTAGGACACCTGAATGGTTGTTTATCTATTTCTCAAGAACCTGTGAACTGCATTCTGACCTGTTTGCCCCAGAATCGCCAGTACCTGGCATAGTGCCCAATCTGTCTGAGTTTAATAGATTGTTCTTTAATAAATGTCCAAAGCTGAAATTATCTTCTCTCCTCACATACAGTATTTTTTTCTTGGGTTCTGAATCTCATCGAATGTCATCTCCCAGAGGCCTAGAGAAGAAATCTCAGGCGCCCTTGACCCTTTCCTTTCTCTCACATCTACTTCCTACCAGCCTTTAATTCTACTTCTGGACATTTTCCATAACCATCTTGTCCTTTTCACCCACAGGGCCCTGCCCATTGGCCCCTCCCTCCCTCCCTCCCTCCCTCCCTCCCTCCTCCCTCCCTCCCTCCCTCCCTCCCTCCCTCCCTCCCTCCTCCCTCCCTCCCTCCCTCCCTCCTCCCTCCCTCCCTCCCTCCCTTCCTTCCACAAACACTGATTGCCTATTGCGCTAAAACCCAGTTCTATAAAAACAAAATAAACCACCGCCTAATTTCAATTCATTTACAGTCTATTTGGGAAAATAGACAAATAATGTAAACAATACGCCATAAATCATGACGATAAGCACAATCGTTTTGATGAGAAATGTGTTTGAAAACAGGTGGGGAGTGACGTATCTTCTGAGGGGCAAGGACAGACCGGAAGGGCTCCCAGGCTGGGCGAGCGGGCCTTTCTCAGTCTGAGCACGGCCTGGCGTCTCTCCCAAGGGTCCCGGAGGCCTCCTCACCAGCCCGTCACCCTCACCGCCAAGCCAGCTAGTCCACTGGTCAAAGACTCTGTATCTTCTCCAAGACGTCGTGTGCCCTGTCCCGTACGGAGTGACTGACTCCACAGCATCAGCGTACAGGCCTCACCATCGGGCCAGGCCCATTTCCAATCTCACCGGTCACGGGCCTCTAGTCTGGCCTCTCCTTCTACTCTTGACTAGTGACCAGTCCCCTCTCAGGACGGCTGTTCCCTTGGGCTGGGGTCCAGCTAGGGTCCAATCTCTACGGAGGAGGAGGACACTCACCCAGCCTGGCAGCCCAGCCTCACACCAGGAGTTGCTGTGTCCCCGATAGGCCAGTGGTCTCTCAGGCCCACAGGCCTTCTCTCGGGCTCTCCCCTCTGCCTGCCCCCCGCCCATCCCCCCAGGCCTAAGGCCACTGTCGCATGCTCCAAGGAGCCTTCCCGATCGATCGCCACAGCTCCTGCGGCACTTACTTTGGTTTGGAAGAAAGAGAGAGGAGGAGGGGGAGAAAGAAAAGAGGGAAGGAGCTAACGTCAGAAAGAAGAAAAGAGAAGAAAGACAGAAACGGGCAACACGAACTCGAAGTTCACTTTCACGTAGGTCCTCGTTGTTTCCACCTCGCTTTTGGGTGGAGACTCTTACTTGAACTTTCCATGATCTCTGGTGGGCAGATGAGGTCGATAAAAGGAGTCACTTTTCACAGGTGAAGAAACTGAGGTTCAGAGTGGTGCAGAGAAAAGGTTACATGGCTAGTAAGTGGCGAAGACTGATGACAAGCAGATGCCAAAAGCAATGTGCTGCTTTGAGTTGTGTTCAGGAAGAGCCCACCTCTTGTCGTAGACGTGGAAAAACAAAATGGGACTGGGTCGGGCGACTCTGGCCACAAAGGAATAGTTACAAGGAGAGGCCGTCTTAGTTTCGTAACCTCGCATCCTGGGATGACAGAAACCCGAACACGTTCCAGATACCAAGCATGGGGCTTTGACCCGGGGGGGGGGGGGGGCACGGGAGGCCCTGTCCCCAGCGGCTGTCCACACAGCCCTCGGGCTCCAACAGGGCTGCTGTGCTGACGAGACTGATTAACGGAACAATCCACCCACCTCAGAGGCCTTTTCTCCCCTTGAGACATTAAAATCAATTTCATTTCCTTTTAAAACTTCTTCTAAATGAGAGAGAAACCTGGGCTGGAGGCTGGTCTCAGGAGCCTGCCCCCGCCCTCCAGCCACAAATCCCCCCTCAGATGTGCCCGTCCCTCCGCTGCAACATGGCAGCTTCTTTCCTTTCTATTTTTAAGACCCGAGAGCGTGACCGAGTTCACTGTAGCTTTCTTCCTCAGTCTTGACTGGAAGTCACAAGCAGCACCGATGATCAGCAACACAAAACTCTTCAGTCTCCTCACGAGCTCCTACAAGGGTCAGCTTGGTGGCACTTTCCTATTAGGTGTCCAGGAGACTGTGGCCAAAGTGAAGGGTGACCTAACCGAACAGCCTGGAAGGGAGGGTGGGGGGGACGCGGGACCTCACCGGGGGACGATGGGAATCGGATCAGGTCTGTCCCTTCTAGAGTCAACCCCTGCAGTGTCTGTGAACACTGACTGGAAGGACCCCCGAAGGAAAGAATAAAAGGGAAAGCGAAGGAAGAGGAAATGAGAGGCAGGATCTGCAGAAAGTCAGTCGCTCACATGTGCACAGTATTTTATAGCTATAAGGTGCTTCCTTGTATATCATCTCCGGAAATCCTAACACCGCCGGGAGGTCGAAGGGGCTGCCTCATCACCCATGTTGCAGGTGAGAAACCCGAGAAAAAGAGGTTCGCTGACCTACCCAGGATTGCACAGCTATGAATGGGAGGGAGACCAGACTCTCCAGAGCAGCGATTCCCACCGTCTCTGAGGGACAAGGGCACTACCCAGGGCAGCTCGGGCCCACAGAGCCGGGGAACCCACACATCAGCCCCAGAGTGAGCACATGCAACTCACTGCCTGGACCCCCAAGCCCACCCTGGTCACCTCTGCCAGCTGCAGAGACATCAGCACATCCGCCTGCCGGAGGTCACCGCGTTGGGGAGAAAGGTCTTCTAACGAAGTCCCGGCAGAGGCTTCCTGGTTCAGTTCAGCTCCAGAGCCCCTCAGCGGAGTCGGTTAGATTTTGGGGAAGTCACAGAGAGACAAAGACCTCAGCCTATGCCTGGATAGTTGTTTTTTTTTAAAGGGAATTTCAAGCTTTTAAATGGTGATAAAATACACATTACCTAAAATTTGCCATTTTAACTTTTTCTTTTTTTTTTCAATCCTCACCCGAGGACATTTTTCCATTTTTTGTTCAGATAGAGTGGGAGGGAGAGAGAGGATGAGAGAGAGAGAGAGAGAGAGAGAGAGAGAGAGAGAGATCGACGTGAAAGGGACACATCGACTGGCTTCCACCTGCACAACCAACCAGGGCCGGGGACAAACTGCAACCGAGGTATGTGCCCTTAGCGGGAACCGAACCCGGGTCTCTCTGGACCACAGGCCGACGCTCTAACTGCTGAGCCAAACCGGCCAGGCCCATTTTAACTATTTCTAAGTGTGCAGTTTAGGGGCATTAAGCAACCATCACTACCATCCATCTCCAGAACCTTTTCATTGTTCCCAGTGGAAACTCTGTACCAATGAAACACTAACTCCCCAGCCCCTCTCCCTCACCCCCTGGCAACCCCATTCTACTTCCTGTCTCTCATGGAATCATACAGCGTTTGTCCTTCTGTGACTGGCCTATTGCACTTTGCACAATGTCTCCAAGGTTCACCTTTGCTGGAGCATGTGTTAGAATTCCCTTCCCTTTGAAGGTTGAATAATATTTCATGTGTGTACGTATATATTACATCTGGTTTATCCATTCATCTGATGGCCACTTGGGTTGCTGCCACCTTTTGACTGTTGTGAATAATGCTGCTATGAGCGTGGGTGACCTGGCCTGGCCTGTTTTCTCCTCAAACTCGTCCCCTGCTCTTCTGTGTGCTGTCGGCCACTTCAGGTGTGCATGTGGGTGTTTACAGCCCTGATCTATAGCCTGGGGCAGGTCTGAAGCAAAGTTTCAAAAAAACAAACCCTCAACCACTCCCAACCTGTCCCCATGCCAAGGGTTGGCACTCCCCAGCTGGACTTTCTGGACCTTGGAGAAGAGTTGATAAAGCTGGGGTCATGGCTGAGGTTTCTAATGGTAGCAGAGTTCAGCCAAAACTTTCTTCGCTGCTGTCGGATGAAGATTTATTTCAGTGTCCTCGCAGGCCTGCTCAGAGCCCACAGAGCCATCCTCGGGGTCCAGAGGGGCGGTGTCTGGAGCTGCTGCCCTGTGCTCCTGCTCTGCCCGGAAACAAGACACCCGCCCGTCACTCCTAGTCTAGAGATGCTTTCAGGAGCGTGGCAACAGGTCTAAAATGTGCCGAGATCCTTTCCTTCTGCTCTTATAAAATTAAAATCCTTCCAAAGACGGCAGTAGATGTTGTCACTGAAACGGAGGAGCTTCCTCTGATTAATCTTTCTCCCACAAAAGCCATCTTGAAATTAAAGACAATTTTGCTAAAATGAACAAGGATGGGACCCAAAGAAAATTTAAAATGCTTGCCTGTTGGGTTTTTTTTTTTTTTATCTGAGCACCTGCAATAATTTAAGGTGTGAGAACTTACAACCCGCAGCCTCCCCTTAAGCTCTGTCTCTCTCCACACAAATCTGCACATTGCGTGTGAAAGACGGACAGCCAGGGGCCAGGGGACATGCACTCACCAGCAGGGCGCGTCCCTCGGGCTTCACAGTGGCCTCGCTTCCCCTCGGCTCGCCCAGCTGCCGCAGCTGCCACTGCCCTGTCCTCCCAGCTAGCCAGGTGTCACTGAAGCCAGGAGCCCCGGGGCTGGGCCACGTGGCTGTTAGGAGACTTCTGATGCCTGAGCACCACTTCCTGGATGCCACAGTCCCGCTGGGCTGCAAAGGTACTTTTGCTTGGGGTTTGAAAAAAAAAAAAAAGAAAAGGAAGAAAGCAATCAAATGAGGGAGGGAGATTTCAAGCCTGAGCCTCAGCATGAGTCACGAATCAAAGTTTAACAACCACATGCAAAGCGGACTCTGGGTGAGGGCGCTGGCTGGCTGCACGGGAAGGCCAGGGGCACTCAGAGGCACAGAAGCATGGATGGTCTGAGGGCAGAGACTCTGTGTCCAAGTTCCCACTCAGGCCTCCAGTCCAGAAGAGCAGCTGACCCCACACGCTCCCCAGGTGGGTCAGGACTCACAACTTCATAGAGAGAAACAGCATGCAGGAGCGGGGCACCAGGGAGAGGGAGAGGGCAGACATGGCTGTGTTCATAAGGGTGCACAGGGGATGTGGGCATGAGGAGGACCCTGCCCCTTCCATCACCAAGTCCCAGGGAAGTCACCAAGTCCGTCAGGTTTGGGGACCAGGGTATTTGCCTCTGTCAGGGATATGACCCTGGGTTACCTCACTATGGCAAGGGGTGGGTGGGGAACCTGACCCCAGACCCACCTAACTCCAGACCCACCTGACCACAGCATTCTGCAGCCTGGCTTGCCACCAGCCTCAGTGGATACGGGCAACAGACCCCAAACTCTGAGTTTATTTCCTGTACTTGGGGATGCCCATCAGGGGTCAGAATAAGACAAAGAATACAATCAAACCACACAGAAGCCTACCTCCCAACAAAGACTATGTCTCTAAAGTGACTGTTGGGAAAATTTCCCAGAGCCTCGGACCGAAGAAAGAGGCTGCCCATTCCATCCCTGCGTCAAGAGTTCATTAGGGGAACATACAAGGCGCGTCTTGGCCAGATGGGGCAATACCCTCCTCCGTGTGGCAGGCACTAAATAATGACACAGAAGCAGGTGGGCAGGGGTACTGGCCGTGACCTGGCCCAGATGAGGGCAGAATGCCTTACTCGCTTGCCTGAGGCAGGGCAATGGCCGGTCCCAGGATTCCAGGAGCCAGCACACCTGGGGCACAGGTGAGGGGTCGCCCAGGCAGTCTCTGGGGATTTACAGGGAGCATCTCTGTTTCAGCCCAGTTGGTCGGGCTGGGTTTAGAACCTGGGAGCTGGTGCACATATTAACTGAAATTTGCTACTCTGTTCATTCCCCACCTGTCTCCCACAGAAGAGTTGAGGCCATCTAGAATATTAACAACACACAGAATGGGACTGCTGACATAAAAATTTAAAGTACAGTCTGAAACCATTAGAAAAAAGGAGAACATTTTCCTAGAAACCTAGATTAAAATAGTCACTTTGAGCCCTGATTTGATGAATTTTCTAACAACAGCTGCCATTTATCATCACCTCCAGCATATTCGGGACTTTTCATCAAAGTGTCTCACCCCACAGTGGCACAGGAATTATTTTTCCCATTTTTGAGATGAGGTCATTGGGGTTGAGAAAGAGTAACTAAAATTGCCCAGGTCCGCTTCGAATCGGGATGGGAACCCAGGGCTGCCCGCCGGGCTCCAGAACATACTGTCCACAGCACAGCGCCGCTCAGCTTCCACAACCTGACAAAGCATGAGCGGGTTTCATGAGAAATAAGTATTTCCCTGGTATTACATGCTAGCAGGGATCTACGTCCGAGCAACGTCTCAGATAGCTTCAGCTCCAACCCTGTGGACGATGCGGGGACAGGCATGGGGACTCCAAATGCCCATCTTCACCAGAAGCCCCAGGAAGAGCTGAGCTGATGCCCCGCCACTCAGGGGCGGCGTTTCTGGGGGGAAGGTGCCACAGCAGTGTCCACGAGTCTTGCTCTCTGGTCATCTAGCCGACTAAACGACAGAACTTAGAGACATGTTCCAGTGGGTTCCCTGGATGATCCGTTCCACACACTACATGACCGAGTCGGGTTTTTCCGTCATAGGCCAGCACGGAGGAATTCTCTGGGGACACTGCCAAGTGCCATCGTATTGTGCACTTAATGAAAGCGGAA